TTCCTACTTGTCCTCTGTCGAATTATTCTTTTGTGATAAGTCAACGTGCAGCATGTCGTACTGAGCTTCCGTTTCCTTTTTACTATTTTCTAATGCTTCTTCTTCAGTTACCCAACCTGTGGGAGGATGCATTATTCTTGAAGGTGATCCATACTTTTCAGAGCGAGGCACTCTCTTTTTCCTTTTGGGCGTCCCGTACAACACGTAATAATCGAAAGAATGCCCAGACGGCTCCCCCAACAAGTCCACTTCACGAACTCCCTCTCGATATAGTTGGTTCAACAGAGTATTGCACGATATTCCTCTTTTTCTTCTTTCTGCTTCCAAATCAATTTCTTCTTCGATATCTGTCATACCATCATCTCCTTCATCATCGTATGCCCCTCTAGAAGTTTGGCCTTCTTCATATTCCAGCACGCATGCTTTTTTCTTCGTTATCCTCCCTCTCTTCTTCTTCTTTCTCTTTATTCTTGAATTCATTGGCTAGCAAATAGTTATTAGCCATGACAGGAGGTAACGTACTGAACTGAATAGTAAGGGATTGATCTGGATCTCTATCTCTTCTGTCTCGCTCAAACTTCGACCTCCCAGAAAAACTTTCTGGCAATTCTTTCATCGATTCACCTGTACCAGTCTCCATACTGTCTTCAAGAATATTTTGATTGGCAACCTCGAGTAGCTCAGGCTCCTTAGGACGTGGCATTCCCTGTTGTTACCTCATCACTCGTCCATAGTTCCGTTGAAAACGCATTTGTTGGGTTCTAGTCATCTCGTTGAAGAGTATCACCTTTCCTACATTATATTGGAACGAATGTCATACATTTGGTTGGCGAGGCTACGGCCTGAATGTTCTCCCATTATTCACTGGCCTGAACTGCCTCTCAAAAGGCGGTCCCCTATAGAACGATGTACCTCGCCCTTTACCAGGCTGAGCGTTTGGGAAAAAACTAGGGCGACCGTGATGCTGCCATATCCCTGGTTTCTTTATATTTCCACTCACTTCTCTTTTACATCTTGGACACAGGATGTCTTCATCCCTTTCAGGCTCTTTCCCTTTGATACGTTCAAAGACACTGGGATATGGTCCAGGGTCCTCTTCTCCATTATCTATAATCAACTTGAATTTTGACAACTTGTTTTTGAAACCAGTCGTCACCATGTTCAGCCCAAGTGGTTGTGGAAAAGGGTTTTCATCCACTGCCATCTTCCTCTTATTCTCGAACGTAATTCGTCCTGATTCAATGGCATCCTGTAACACATGGCAAAAAACCAAATAGTTATTCCTCAAATGTGACCATACATTATGCCACTTACAATATTTTTTACCCTTAACTTGTTCAGGGTTTGGCAATTTATGTTTATCGCTCAACTTTATCTGCTTATCCTTATATAGTTTATCAAATATAAGGTCAGCTTTGGTTACATCGAACAAGAACATTCTAGCCTTTTTGTTTTCATCTTTTATAGACTCATCCTTGCCCAACGATCTAGGCTTAGCCATTATAGGACAAGTATACGTGTCTCCTTTGATTAGTTTGGCCAAACACATTTCGGTTTGATCGTAATACTCGTCATTAATGGTATGAACATCAAAATTTGGATCTCTATAATAAGTCCCTTTGCTAGAATTTTTCATTTGCTCTTCTTTTCTTATTAATCGTTCATACCTAATCATGTTCGCTATCAATTGGAAAAGATCGAGAAATTCCTTGTCTTGGAACTTCTTTTTCAAATCAAAGTTTAGACAACCTTGAAAGATTTTGACAAACTCATTTTCAGGCAAAGGTACAAAACATTTACTTCTTGCTGTCTTGAACCTTTGAAGGAAACCTTCTGCCCATTCGTTTGGCATTTGACGTAGATTCGTCAAATCGGTCAAAGTAACTTCGGACTCGGTCTTATAAAACTAAGCATGGAACAATTGCTCCAATTGTTGCTATATTTGAACAGAGTTCGCTAGCAAATTGATGAACCAGGAGAAAGCTACTCCTGTTAATGAACTAGGGAACAACCTCATTTTATGGTAATCAGTTACGTCACCACTTTGCAGTGTGAATCGCTCTATATGTTCTAGTGTAGACACCTCTCCTAAACCGATAAATAGTGAGAATTCTGGCACTTTATACCCTCTAGGCCATGGATATGCTTGGTCTACCCAATCAAGATATGACTTTGCGTAAGTTGGCCGAGTGACAGGACGTACCCCAAAAGCCGTCTGATCCTGTATTATTTCCATAATTTGATTCCTCAACATGACGTTGGGGTCATATGGAATTCCTACAGGTTGATTGATTGGTTGATTTGCTTGAGGCCTGATATTTGGTCTTTGATTGGCAACAAAGTTGCCATGATTTGGGTCATTGTTACCATTAGCCTGAATATTTACTCCATCATTAACACGTGGGGCATTCTGTCCATTATTTAGGACATTGTCTCTTACATTTAGGTTACCCCCTAAGTTAGATGTACCATTGCCACTATTCTGATTTGGCATCACACCATCCCCTGGTTTGAAGTAGAGGGACCAAAAGGTGATTCTACCCCTTAATTTGGACTTAAGACTGGGGAATTATGTCCCACAATTGTCCTAGTTTGGAAGTGATTTGCAAGAGGCACGACTGGCTGACAAATTTGGCCTACTAACTTATTCATTATTTCATTCAAAGTATTCAGTTGTTTGACCATATTATCATAGTGTGCATTCCCATTCTGGGTAAGTCTTTCCATATTATGAATATTTCGTAGATTTACCTGTTCATCGACATCCTGTGTAAGTTCTCCAAGTAATGCACGCATAGTTCAAGGACTCAACTCTGTCATTGGTTCGTAACGACTATGACTGCTCTGATTCTGTCCATCTGTTCGTGGAGAGCTATGTTGCTCCTCATATCGCTCAATCACAGACTGGACTCCTCCCTGACTTGCTTCCTTATCAAATTTCTGAGGCGTATTGTTTCACCTTTTGTATCTCCAACACCAAACACCAAGGTCCCACCGGCGTGCCAAATTGTTTCGCGCACGTAGTCGCTAACAATTAAAAAGGGATCAGACGATTGTGTAAGGAACAAACAGTTTGAGACAAAGTCCCAAAAAGAGGTGTTTTATTAACGATGACTTTACAATTGGAACTAAACATAATGCCTCTAAGGGGTGCAAGCACACGAATACTGAAAAGAAATGTTTAAGTCTAAACTAAGAAATTGAAATTACATATTCTCTGTTTGAGAGTGTTTGATTCGGGTTCTTCGCTCTATGTCTTTTCTTCCTTTTATATTCTCTTGATGATTTTTTCGTGATCAACCGCTTAGAAACTGCTTGATTACTTTATAACTATCCACTTTCTTTATGGTGGCTAACGTGTCGTGGAACTATCGTCTCTAACTGTTGCCACTACTCTTTGTCATTCAACCGTCTTCATCTAAACTCCTTGAATCGTGGATCGTGATAAGGTTACTTGATAACTACTTCAATAACTGCACTTCTGGATAACCATAACATCTTATGTTTGCTAAGATCATGGATGATTCGAAGGTTTGCGCGAGAACAGGGTCATAGCTTTGGGCGACTGTAAGGCACTTCATTCGCTCAGATCTTGGGCGTCTTGCAAGCTTGGGCGATGATGTTACCGTGTTCGTGGGCTTCCACTGCATTCATTAGTAACCCTATTTGGGCTTTTATCCTGAATTTTTCAGTTGAACTTTATTCTTTGGGCTATTTGATTTGGGGATTCCCTAATTGGACTTCATTCCCTAGGCTATTCGATTTGGGCTGCACTTTTAGTGTGTCAATAGTTCCATACTATACTGGCACTTGGTGATGCTTTAGAGAATCCCAACAATTTTCTGGCAATTTTGAAGCCTTGGACTGCATCCATCTGACATTTCTCTTCGATTATAATCTTATCGAGGGATGGAGACCGTGCAAGTAACTAGAAGCTTGAGCAGTATCAGTTCCTCGACGGGATTCTTGAACAAGTATATCCTCATAGTCTTAAGCTTCATGAGATTTTGTTTCATGAGGTTTGGAGCCTTCAAATAATTTAGAACCCGATCTCTATCATAAGTTATGATTCTTGGTAAAACCTGCAAAAGAATCATCTCACAATAAAATATACAAGCAAATCTCTCTTCTTAGAATGTATTGGTCCTCGTTGACATTTGATAACAACAGCTGAACCATGATTGTCATTACCACGTGCATCCTAGTATTTTGTTAAGGGATAAAATTACACATTGAATAAAAATGAAAATATATATCAACTCATTAAGAATTTGGATAGCTACTCATAATAAAGTTGACATTTGACAATGGACCACAAATCTTAGCCTATGTTTGAGCCACATTTTAGGGAAAAAATGCATTATTCATGTCAAATCAATGAGAAATGTGTGGTTAAAAAATAAGGAAAAATTTAGATTTACATGTAATATTATTTTATTGAAGAATGTATGGTTGAAATGATATCAAATTACAGTTGAAGAATGTGTTTTTTTTTTATAAAATAATGTGGCTCAAACAAGCCCTTAATATGATATCAGAACTCATTATACTTCAACTAGTAATTCAATCCGATTAGGACTCAAAAAATGAGCACACACATTTTAGGATTGGTCTACTCAAACCCAAGTCACCATCCTGCGATGGCATATTAAGGGATAAAATTTTACATCAATAAAGATGAAAATATATACCAACTACTCCACTTAACAAGATTGACATTTTAAGATGGAACTTAAAATTTTAATATATTTAACATTTCACCTTCAGATCAAGAATCTGCAAATTGGGGCAACTTTGCAGCAAGCAAATAACTGTAGAAATATGATCAAAATCTTTAAAATCCAAGTCATCAAGTGTAATATGTTCAAGGCACTGCACGATTCTTGGAAGCACAGCTGGTGTAGTACCTGCAGCCGACATCTTCCAAACAAGCCAGAAAGATTTTAGGACATATAAATCCAGTGACTGAAGAAATTTAAGACAACTAATTAAAGATCAGTTTATCTCCCCTTGAGGAAGAAGCCATCAAACAGAAGAACTCGAATGTTTGACAATTTTGCGAAAAGCCCTGATAATAAGTCAAAACCATGTTTCTTAGTCTCCCCTTTGCCCAACGAATTAAAGTTGAACTCCTTTAGGTTTGGGTTTAGTAAGCTGTTTATCCTAACACCATAGCTAAAGTAGATTCTCAAGACTTCGAGTAAAGGAGCAACGATTTCTAAATGGACAATACCGACGCACCTTTCAATGGACAATTTCTTGAGTTGTGGATTTCTAGGAGAGGAAAAAACTTCCGATGAATTTGACTCAACCCCGACATTCTTAAAAGATAGAAAAGTGAGGTTGTCCAAAGACCTAGAGGAAAACGGTTTGATCACGACATTATGAAGTGCCATGTGTTTTAATGATGGACAAGAGAATACATAGGAAGGAAATCTATAAGGTTTGGCTGGCGTCTCCGAATACAAGAGAGCAAGTTTCTTTAGACCATTTCTTGACAGAAAAATCAACCATTGATCGACATCCGAGTATTTTGATGAATTTATGCACGAAAGATCCAAGAGAAACTTTAATACGAGTCCCGTGCGTTGTAACAGAATTTTGTTGATTACCTTATCAATACGGTTAACTCTTAAAGAGTGCTGATCCAAGACGAGTTTTGGATGCATAGGCCAAAAATTCCTCCATTTTCTTGACAAGATAGTCGTCCTTGTAGCATCTCGAACTGGCATGTTATCTAAAATACGATCAATAATCTCAATTGGCAGATTGCTTATTCTGTCGTCCATGCCTTCGCTCAGCTTCATGCGTTTACTCGTACAGCTCGTCATTGCTCTGATAATGGAACAGTTGGAAAATTGATTTTAAGGATTCGGAATTGCGATAAATCACAGCCATTTTATTGAAGAACAAGTTGATTACCTTATAATTTGTCTTCAATTCTCAGAGCAGATGAAAGTCGAGAAAACCTCGCTGCCCTTTTGAATTCTCTATAAGGTGTGCCTTTTAAATATTAATTAATGAGAAGAATGCTGCATTTGAAAATACTTTGTTTGAAATTTAGTCACGTAATTCTAGTGGGTTCTGTTGCAAATGACACTTGTCGTTTGCTGCCAATTTGCCAATATAAGGGAAAACTATGCGGTATTTTTCAATTTTTAGAAAAAGAATTTGCGTA